TTCCTGTATTGTTCCTGCCAGCAGTAGAAATTCCCCGTCCAAGGGTGATTCCCAGATGGAACATGTACGGCTTATCACATTATTGCTGTATTTATTTAATGCACATTACTACCTTCATTTGTACCTCACAAAACTGTCAGACTCCACCGACCCCCCCCCCCCATCACTCCAGAATGACACTATAAGGACTACTTTACCTCGCGCTAAAGCGGGGGTACCGCAGCGCACAACACGCCGCTGGACTCTTCGCAATCCTCCATGATCTTAATTCTAGCACCATCGTGCCAGGCAGCCACGCAGTTTGATGCCAGGCTTGCGGTGGCGCTGTAGAGCAAAGCTGTTAAGTCGCATTCATGGTGTGTGGAATGAATGTTATAAGTAAGAATTTTATTAAGTCTAACCATGCATGATGTACTTACAGTATGCAAGGCAGGATTATTATTACAATAACATTTTCATAAACTGAAATAAAATCCAAAAATAAAAACTACAACTAAGAGCTATAAATATTTCTTCCAAAACCAATTGAAATAAAATAAAAACAAATGTGAAATACTTGCTAATCATCTGTTCATTTTTGGCCCTCTCGTGCAATACACTTGAACCATAGAAATGGCCGACGGCATTACGTCGCGACACTCTGTTGAAGCCATTTTAGGTCCTACAACTTTTCCGACTTACCATCTGACTACTCTCTGCCTTTTTGACATTTTGCTATGCTACTTTACCCCTGGCCAATGAATGGTCAAGGTTTGTTTGCGTCACCGAGTGGAGTCTCCGCGCCGTCCAAGGCTGGCCCCTATGATAAAAAAATTGCATTGCAGTCCTTGCACACACTGTCTCGCCGCCGCATCCGCATGAAGTAAAAGCCACCCTTAAGCCAGTTTCCTGGTCTTTCCTCCCCCAGAACGGGCGGTCGATCAGCAAGAGGGGAGTGAGCTGCCAGTTTGGGCCAGACGTGACGGAGCGCTTCCTCACCGAGAACAAACTGCAGTACATCGTTCGCAGTCACGAGGTCAAGGCCGAGGGCTATGAGGTCACCCACTCAGGGAAGTGCATCACTGTCTTCTCGGCACCCAACTACTGGTACGTCATGCACGTTCGGTGCCTGTCTCTTTAAACCAGACGGCCTTAACGCGTTTACAGCATTATAATTACAGTGTTACGTCTCTCCTCCAGTGACCAGATGGGTAACAAAGGAGCCTATATCCACCTCAGGGGGTCCGACCTTAAGCCAGAATTTCACCAATTCACTGCTGTGGTCAGTATCTTTCTAGTCACCATTATGAACTTTAGGATATGCTTTCTTATCGTACTTGTCTGCTTTCAAACTGTTGACGTTCTATTTCTTATTTCGAGGTGGCACAGTGGGTGGGCTCACACTGCCCAAAAAAAAAAATCTCACCTCCATTCTGAATGTGTGAAATATGCATGCTTTCCCTGTGTTGTACAGGTCTCCTGTAGGTATTCGTTTCCTCTAGCAGTCCAAAGGCTAATTGGCATCACAGAATTGTCTGTAGTGTGTGATTGTGGGTGTCTCCCCTGGCCTCGTGTCCTGTGTTGCCTGGGATGAGGTCTAGGCAGTGCCGATTGCTGGCTGTTCCTTATTCCCAATGTCAACATCCCTTCCAGTCTCATATCACTCAAAATACGATTTACCTTTCACATGCATTCTATAACACTAATCAAATAGGGCTGTTTTGACTTTCTATCCTTGGTAATGGGCTATCATGCCCATTAAATATCCATAAAGCACCCTTTATGTTGGAATTTCTCTGTATATCTACTACAGCTTAGGATAACCCACAATGAAGAATCTCAAAGTGAAACTGAGTCCTGCTCTAATAAAAGTATTTTGATTCTGATTCTCTCATACTACACACCTAGTCTGTGGCTGTATTTTTGTAACAGGGTGTCTGTCTAAGGTTTGGATGAAAGCTCTCATTAATCTAAGTTTTAATGAAAGCTGGGCCCTGGGATGTTTTCCCCAAAAAAAATTTGTTTCTTTCTTTGATAAGCACTTTTAAATTTGCAGAAAATTCTATTTTGTTGCAAAATTTTGCAACATCTCAGACTCTCACTCATTTGACCTTGGACACTAGGTTGTTAATGTACTTGTTAATGTCAGAGAATGTAAAGTAAATTGCAAGAATAATGTATTTATGCAGTGTTACGTTAAACACCATGTGTATGCTCTGTCTTCCCTCACAGCCTCATCCGAATGTCAAGCCTATGGCGTACGCAAACTCCTTGATGCAGTTGGGAATGATGTAAAGAGCCTGTCTGTGTGTGTGTGTGCGCGCAGGTGTGGCGTCCTTACCATTTAGTTTTTTTTTTGTTTTGTTTATCTGTTTTTTTTTTTTTTTTCCCATATACAGCTCTTATTGCCACTAACCTTACCTCCTCTCAAAAAACTCTTTTCAAACTCCAAGTACGCACACGAGGGAGGTTAGGGTATTTCTTTACTGGTCCAGTCAAAAACATGTGCTTCGATGTTAACGGTTTAGCGCAACTACGCAACCCATATTGATCCATTCATCTCTGGCCAATTCATGCTATGACACAAATTTGTAATTACTAGATTTTTTTTTTAATCACATAACTAGTACATGATTACTTCAGTGTTGGGATTCAAGCACTAGTTGGCGCCAAAGACCAGTACTGGAACAGCTTTCAAGTATTTGACATAACGTGATTGTCCACCTTAGAGGAAATCTGTTGGGAGATGCCGAGATTGTCTGTGTCAGAATGTGATAATATCATGGTCCTGTCACTTTGCCAAGCGCTGTCTTTTTAAAGTTGATGCACCCCCCCCCCCCCACAATTACTTTTAATTTGTGGGATGAATATTTTAAGTACAGTACTGTCACTCAAAACCAAATATAGGTTATTCACTTTCGGGGGTAGTCTAACCAAGAGAATTGTCACAAGTTCTATTTTAATAGTTCTGTGTGTTCTTCCATATTTATTCTGAGGCTTTCTGACAAGCTTGTCTTAGCAGAGTAATGCGCTACTTATCGTTCTCTCCCAGTACCGGTTCCTGGTAACGGGAGAGAACGCTGAAGCCACTTTACTGAAAGAGACACAGGCAATACTTTCAGTCCCATCGTGTGTCGTGAAGCTGCTCGCAAGTTTATGAAAGACGTGTCACAGACATGTACAACCATCTTCCCGTTTCTGAAGCGCACAGCAACATTGTCCTGGGCTTTTTAGATAATGTTATACAAACGTGTATGTGTGTGTATATATATATATACTGTATATCATTTCAGATTCCAGTGTACATGTTTGAAGCAGCAAGAGGAGAAAATAAAATGGTCTTCAGTGATTTTAAACAATGAAACATCTGTTTGTTAAATGAGTGGCTGTATAACCTGCCCCCCATGAAACAAATTTGTACTACACATGCCCCCCCTCCTCCCCATAAAAAAGCTTACTGTTATTATCTTGTTGTGTCTTAATGCTGCTACTTAGTGCTCTAACTTATACAGCGACTTTATATGTGTGATTTTGGGCAAAGAAAGACAATGATCAGATGAGAGTAATCAACACAGCCTACGTCCATGGAAGTCACAGTAACACTGAAACTGAAGCAGTTAACTTTAATCACATCTATGGAAAACTCTACGGAAGTGAGTTTTAAAACATAAACCCACACCCTAGAAGAATTTATTCCAAAGGGCACAAACAGAAATTAATTTATGGCTAGATTCCCACAGTAAGTTGTTTTCCGTGGTACAGTAACCAGTAACATTCAAGGTAGTTAAATCTGGTTGTTATTCATCATTGATTTGGTTTTCACACCAAAAAGAACCCAGAATAATACAAAAATAAATGCCACCTATTCTTTTACGATAAATTTTGTGTGCACTCTGCACCTCATTTTATGTGGTCTGCCACTTCATGGCTGAGTTTCTGTTCCTAAATGCTTCCACTTTGCAATAATACCACTTACAGTTCACCGTGGAACATCTAGCAACAGGAAGAAATTTCACAAACTGACTTACTGCAAAGGTGGTATCCTATAACAGTACCATGCTTCAATTCAGTGAGCTCTTCAGAATGACCCATTCTTGCACAAATATTAGTAAACCTACATACTGCATGGCTAGGTGCTCGATTTTATTTACCTGTGGGTCTGAATGAAACACTGGAATTCAATGATTCAGAGGGGTCCCCCAATATTTTTGTATGTTGGGTTAACATGTATAAAATACATTTACTACTTTGCCTGCTGTAGCATATCCACGATCATACGTCAACATCAAAAGTTACAAGCCTAAATATATTTTAATTTGTCAACTGTAAATAGAATATAAATTTCTCACTTCTAGGACGTCATTCAAAGTAGCTTTCCCCGTATGTAGTGATGTCTACTCGAAGTCACATTCATTTGCGGGCGTCCCACCACCTCCACAAAGTGACAGCAGCTCCCGGACACCGGCGAGTGAAGCGCAACGTCCCGGAAAACTGTCCGTAAGCGAAGTGACCCGGGGGCACTATACGCTCCGTCTGACCACCCAACTAATCGCCAACCGGTCAACAACTGTTACCGCACGCACTTCAACACCAAAACTTACAGTGATGAAAAGCACAAATTAAGGAGCCTAATCTATTTGAAGTAAGGGTTGCCAGCTCTCACGCATCAGTGGCCTGTACTACGAAGCGGGCTTACTGGTTTATCGGGGTAACTTGTCGGATTTAAGGTAGTCTGGGCAAAATGTAAGTGAACGAATATGAAGTCCATTTAAACTGTGGTACCTTAAATCCGACAAGTTACCCCGATAAACCAGTAACCCCGCTTCGTAGTGCAGGCCACTGGTGTGACACTCATGCAAGAAATTTTACGGCAAATGTATATTATTCCATTATAAACCTAAAATTTACTACACCAAAAGCTCTGGGGAAGTTTGCAAGCCCGGCGGACTATTTACAAGGTAATAAAACTGTTGATTATATACAAATTAATGCGTGTACCTGTGTGTGCAGGCTTGTGTAAAACTGATAATCTCACGCCAGCCAGTTGACAAGCTGACAACCCTTTGAAATTAAACTATAAATGAACGAAATAATAAATACAGCGGAGGCATAAAACAAAAACAATTGAATTGGTATATTTTGTCAGCTGATTTTTCCTTTCAGGAGATTTAGGGGCCGTAGAAATAAGATGACGGTACGTGCTGATGAGGATGATGGCGTCAATTAAGGGGGCTACATAAGCAAACTGGCATGTGTTCTGTGTCAAGATTAGGTCCAGTCTGAGTTAAAGAAAGAAAAACAGAGGGTACTTTTAATCAGAGATATTTAAACTCACAATTGAGTTGCTTAGTGAAGCTGATCTAATAAATATGAACGAATATGAGAAGCATTTTAGCCGTCCGACGCCGAAAGCCTTTCTGAGGGAGTTTTGTGCCACTGGAAGGAAAGATTCCTTCGGATCGCGAGTTAAGAAACTGCTGCATGGAAAATTATCCCAATCAGTGAATCTCCGGAGGAAAAGTCGACGAAATAACCCGTGCCGCAATCCCCAAAACGAGGTGAGAAAATTATATTGTCTGATGCCCTAAATTGCGCGAATCAGGTACACGTCAGATGGTGGACAAAAATCACCACAAGAGCTCGTTTAATCTTAATTTACGACAACTTTACTTTGTAACATCCGGTATTGTACCCAGGGGACTAGAATTGCAGGTTTTTACGACTAATTTTGGAAAGTGGTCTTATGTTCCTCCAGCGATCACTTTTCTGTTGGACTTCCCTAGCAGGTATCAAGGTGGTAGGATACCACTTTAATGATCTCCCTCTGTGTGGTTGTAGGTGGTTTTAGAGACTATTCATGGCATCACGGCTTTCAGCGATAGCGGCCTGGCCTGTGACCCCCACGCCGGAGTGGTGGCCTATCCCGCCGGGTAATCTGCCGTCTGTCTGATGCGGATTCTGCCGTCTATTCTGAACGTGACCATGACCATTCCTGCTATGAGCACAGCTACATCTCCCTCTCTGATAGTTGACACCAGGAGAAATTCAGTGTTGGGGAGTAACATGTAACGGCGTTGCGTAATGAAATTCCAAAATGAATGTAACTAAAATCCGTTAGTTGCTGAGAATAAACTAGTGATGGCCAACTGAAGCCTCATGAACCATTTGCTGTATTTGTCTGACACCACGAGATGGTGCTCTTAGCTTGCTTTGGGGCATGCCATGTGCCCTTTTTCTACAGGCAGCATCATCTAATGGGGTAGACCTCACCCCCCCCAATGCCCAACCCAAAGTGATGCCTTTGGTCAGATGTAATCAATTACATTGCTTTACATTGCAAGTAATCTGTAACATATTTCATTTCAAAAGTAACCTGACCCAATCATTACTCCTCAGTGTATCTGCACTTCATGCAGTTCATTGTCGTCACCTTGTATATTTTACACAGGTGTGTAGTTGTCATCCTGCGTCCCAAAGAGAGAACACAGAGTCACATAGTGAACTCTTCCAGGTGAGCTTTTGCTCGATTTATTTTAACTTCCAACATACTGAAATAGACAACACCCTGTCTTACAAGTGCTCTGTACTGTTGTATTATGGTCAGTGTGGTGATCAATGTATGGACGTCAAGCTGAGTTTCACTGGGACGTTTGTACATAACTTCATATTTTAAAGTCATTTTTCAGAATTGCTACACTTGTCCTTCTGTCATTTCTTTGTTTAATTTCAGGAAAGCTTTCACTGCCTTGGCCTTTTCGCAGGATGGGAAATACTTGGTTACTGGTGAAGTAAGTATTGGGAAGTGTTTATGGGGATTTCGGAGGAGTCCCTCTGTGTAAGGTCAAGTCGAGTAATTAGTGCTATGACAGAGACCAGCTGTCTCATCATCCATCTATATGTTCAACCCACTGTCTATTCTGCTTATCCAAAAAACAACCTGTGGTGATGCATGCTTTGATATGAGGAACTGGCATTTAATAGTTGATACAAGGTATGCAGTTGGCCATTATTTTAGATTGAAAATGTCTTAATACAAGGTTTAAGCATAACTATAGATAAAGTAGACCATGTGCAGTAGTCTGTGTCATTAATATTGAAAGTACAATTTATCCACAGACTTGTTGATTTTGTATCCTTGTCATTTGTAGTTATCATTCTGCCAATGTGTTTTCAGAGCTTTTCTTGGGTTTCTTTTCCCCCACCATTGCCCAGCTTTCTCATCCTCATCTTTCATATTCTGGTCCCCCTTCAAACAGCATGGTCACAAGCCTTGCGTGCGAGTGTGGGACACGTCCAAGGGGACGGAATTGGCAGAGGTGCAGTGTCATCAGTACGGAGTTACCTGCGTGGCATTCGATAGCAGCGGGGACTACGTTGTGTCAGTGGGCTGCCAGCAGGACATGGCTGTCAGCGTATGGGAATGGAGGGTGAGAATGAACGAGAGCAAGTCTAGAGTAGCCATCAGTGACATTAACGGTATTTATTATGTGAGCAGTTGCATACGGCATGCAAACAGTTCTCTCTTCCTTTGAAGTTATCAATTTTGTAAACTTGGAACTGGAAATAAGAGTCCAGGAGATTCATATTTATTAAAAAAAGAAAAAGAAGATGATGATGATGATGATGATTTTTATACACTTTGTCTACCCCCTAGTGATGGCCAAATGCAGCTTCATGAACCACTTGCTATGTCTTCTGACCCCACTAGATGGGGCTCAAAACATGCTGCAAAGCAAACCAAGGACACCATCTAGTGTGGTCAAAAAAAATACAGCAAGTGGTTCATGAGATTTCTTTTGGCCATCACTAATACCCCACCCCTTCACGTCAGAAGGAAAGTGTTTGCCTGACAGCTATAAGCTCCGGATGATACTTGGATATTTAAATTGCGTTGGGTCTTTGATTTACCTTTCTTCAATACAGAAGGGAGTTGTAATAGCCTCAAACAAGGTGTCCGGCAGAGTGCTGACTATGTCATTCTCAGAGGACAGCAGCTATTTTGTCACAGCAGGAAACAGAATGATTAAGTTCTGGTATCTGGACACCTCCAGAAATAGACAGGTGAGAGACACTGATCTCGATTAAGCAGAAGATCTTCATACTTGTGGTAGTAATTGACAATTTGACAAGGTTTTTAAAATTTACATTTTTTTGGCCCTTCCTTTAGGTGAATGGCACGGTGCCTCTGACTGGCCGGCCAGCACTGCTGGGGGAACAGTGGAATAGTACCTTTTGTGGTTTAGCGTGTGGGCGGGGCCACATGGCCGGCAGCACTTACTGTGTCACCATCCAAGGTCTGCTCTGCCGGTTTAATAGCAGGAGGTTGCTGGAAGCCTGGGTTGATCTGAAGGTTAGACCCGAAGATGTTCACCTAACATTCTTTTAATATTAACTACAGACTGTCCCTGACTGCTTGGTGCTTAAAAGAATGAACTAGCCCCACCCTCATTCATTTCCTCTGCAGACTGCCCCAGTGCACTGTTTATCCGTCAGCGAAGATTATGTCTTCTGTGGCTGTGCCGATGCTACTGTGCGAGTATTTAAGCCCTCAGACCTTTGTTACATTACCACCTTGCCTCGTCCTCAGAACCTCTGCATGGACATTACAAAGAGTGGTGAAGCAAGGTGGGTACAGCTACTGTTGTATAGTTTAGTTACTTTACTTTAAATTACACACACGTGAATGGTGTTTGGATCTGGGGATTAGTAAGCTGTGCCTTTGTGGTGAATGTTATTGGTTTCAGTCGCATAGCTAGCAGAATAATATCATTGATGGGCTCTTGAGCGAGGCCCTTAGCCCAGTTGCTACTCCAGAAGTGCTGGAAAAATGACTTATCAATCAATCTTCACTCCAACCAGCCACAGGACACCTAGGTGTGATATGTGAAAACCTGTACTGGTTCTTGTACAAATTGCAAATAGTTATTTAATAATGTGGTTTTTCAGAAGTGAAATTTTGGAAAATGGTACATTTTAGCTTTGTTTTTTTTACCTCACCTTTTAGAGATCTGCTTGCTGATGATCAGGTGGCAGGTTATCCTGATACACTTGCCCTGGCCTTTGATCCTCTGGCAAGATATCTGACGTGTGTCTACAGTAACCACAGCGTGTATGTGTGGGATGTTTGTAACATCAGAAATGTGGAGGTGGTCTACTCCGCCCACTCCCATAGTAACGGTGTCTGGAGTGTAGAGGTGCATGTAATTTTATACTTGCAAAGTTAACATTTGATAATGACTAATCCTCCCCTGACTTATGACAGAACAATTATATGCTGCCTTCTAAAGCTTCTTATATTCAGCTATTAAAGTTTTGTTGAACAATTGGAAGTTTTGATGCTTTTGTTTAAAGTCGTCTTAACTAGCTGCACAAGTTAGAATGGCCCTAGTCCTATACTTTTACCGGGTTGAAGTTGTTTTGGTAAATAAATACAGATCCACCTTTTTTTGGGTTTGAGTTACAAATGACAATGTTTGATGGCATCCTAGATGTACCCTAATATGGAGGAGCAGGCTGAGCCATGTCTGACGGTGGGATCCTTCGTCACCTGCTCCTCTGACTGCACTATCCGGCTCTGGCCTGGAGACCCCAGTACTTACATTCCAGCCAGTGTTTCCACTGCAGTAAGTGTTACATTGATTTGCTGGTTTGGCTTGCTGACACTGCCTACCTCACTTACACATGGATGCCACTGCAGGACCCTGGGCAGGTAGTGTGGCTCAAGAAGGATATGGAGCAGCAATGGATTGTGGGTGAACCCAGAGAGGCCAGGAGCTCTCATGTGAAACCAGGGATTAGAGTGATGAGTGTCAGTCCTGATGGTCTGCATCTGGCTGCTGGAGACTGGGGTGGCTCCCTGCGGTGAGTGGCACACTTCTATTAACGTGTAAAGTAAGCATTAGAGAGACACTTCTAATGTAGTGACGTCTTCAAATGGTCTGTTTCGCTGGTAGAGTGTGACGTGAAGTCATACTCGGCCTCAGAGATCCGTAAGCATTTAAAAACTCATTTCTGTTGAGTCGTCTCATATTCACTGTGAATAATCTCTCTTTAGAAATGTGAAAGGTTTTTGTGGAGGAATGTTTACATGAGGACTAGACTATGAGGAAGAGAGCAAATGTTTTCTGTTCTGCCCCCAGTGTCTTCTGCTTGCAGTTCTTGCATGAGTTGTTGCACATAAAGGCTCATGACTCTGAAGTTCTGTGTCTGGAGTTTTCTCCGGCTTTCACCGGTCAGTCTGAAGCAGCTTCCCTGTTTATAAACATATCCCTGCTTGCCTAGTACCATCTCCGCTTCACTATGCAATACAACTTTTCATTGTACAAGACTGTTTTGCTGGGAGTTATGTTTTTTAAATACTGCTAGGTCAAGTCGAGTAATTAGTGCTATGACAGAGACCAGCTGTCTCATCATCCATCTTGTCAAATTGTCAAAACTAAAATTCAGTTTTTCTGCATACTTTTGATTTGTGATAATTTCAGGAGATTGAAGCAGATGCCTATTAGATGTTGCGTATGGGCAGGATAGATGTCGTTGAGAAAAGCATAGTAACATCAGGGGGGTGGATAACGACTTCAAGCGGAGTACTTGTGACTGATTAGCTTGTCTGTGGATGGTATGAAAGAACCATTAATATTTCATGTCTCTGATTTTGCAGGCCTGGATTTGTTGGTCTCTGCAGGCCATGATGGCTGTATTCACATTTTCAACAGGGAGAATGGGTATAGCCATGAGCGGACGGTATGTGACCACTCTACCTCCATTATCGCCATCAAGTTCACAGGTCAGTGGGGCTGCCTGCTCTGTGTGTGTGTATTAAGTTTACATTACATTGTGGGGACCAATCTTATTGATGGTATGGGGCCCATTTTTCAGGTCAAGATCTGTGAATGCAATCAAAAAAGCCAAAAGTCTCTTGTATTTTCTTTGGTTACTCATGATTAAGGTTAGGGCTGGGTAGGGGTTAAGGTCGCCATGTTGGGATTATGGTTTTCCCTATAGAAATGAATAAAGAGAAATTACCACATGGGAACTCAATTTTTATTAAAAATTATATTTTTCCATTTTCTTTTGAAATCTAGTTTTAATTTTCAATGTTGAGTGCTTTAATGATGCATACAGTACTGTGCATAAGTCTTAGGCCGTCTAAGGAAAGGTGTTAAACTGTTTATCTGGGCACTAAGTATATATTTGCTTGGGACAAAACGCACAATCTAACATTTGAATGTATGTAAATTAAGAGTAGCATAAGAATTTCTTCTCCAAAAAGTTACTGAAATCTTGCTGGCCGGCTAGATGAACACCTCTTCAGTTCCCAAACCTCTCCTCAGGGGCACCCCAGCCGTTCCATGCATCTGTTAAATTTCACCCTCAGTTCAATTAATGTAGTTATTTTAATGTATGTATTATTTTAAAAAATCTAATGAGGTATTGCTGAGCCATATGAGGTGTGCTTTTGGTTGAATCTAACTGGGTGTAAACATGTTCATATGAAAGAAACGAATCATTACTGTTGCTAAATACTATTGTGTGTTAGTTTCTGAAACAATGTTCGTGGTTTTCATTTCATGTTTCATTTCATCTTTTATTTGAGCTTACTGAAACTTTGTTATTGATACCTTGTCTGCATGTCCCATCTTCCGTATTTTGCAGGTGCTTTTCCCAACGCCGGCTTGGTGAGCTGTGGAGGCGACGGAAGCGTTTATTTATACAGCACTGAAAAGGCAGGTTTCTCTGTCTCCACGTGGGAACAAGGTGACATGTAATGGGCTAACGGCCGGGAATTTCTTTGATAAAACATCTATTTTAAATGTATATATTTTTCTTAGTATTCTATTACATGTAATATGAAAATGGGTTAGGAAATGCTTACTGGTGTATAGAGAGAGAGATTCGTTTAGAAAATGAAGACTTTGATGTCTTTGGGAAAGAACAGACATTCAGTTTGGTACAGTCAGGCATGTTAGTGGACAGTCGGTAATGGTTGTATTCCAAGCTGTGAGGTGTAAGATTGTTCTAAAAAATAGTCGTATGTTTTTTTTTTTTTCTTTCATAATAATCCATATTAAGTTATAGTAATCTGCCTGCTTCCTGTTAACCCTGTGAAGGGCCAGCTCTCTTGCTCGAGTCGCATAGTGACGAAAACCGCCGTGAATGATATGAGCCTGGATGCCGCATCAAGTCACTCTGTCGTTGCCTGTCAGGATCAGCATATCAGGTTGCCTCCCCTGGTCCATTTCCATTACTGTCTTAGACCTCTTATGCTGGCCTTAAGTGCCATAGTTTCTGTTGTTCCTGATACAGGGTTTACAGCCTGAAGAGTGGAAAGATGACGAAGACTATCAAAAGCCCTCTGAGTGATGTCACTTTTCTTAAAGTAAGCGAACGGCAACAACTGCCCGTATTTGGTCAACAGCTAAGCCTCGGAACTCCATGAAACTTGTCAGTGCTGTAAACGGCATGTTGAATGTGCAAGCATTGATGATGATGATGTCATTTTTATCATTAACACTAATATTTATTAATATAAATAAATGAAAGGGCTTTTTTTTTTCCTACTGTGATGTTCTCTCTGTATTTGACTTGTTTCAGACATCATCTCACTTTAATTTGGCACGTGATTTGGTCCCCTTCGGTATGTGTGTGTGTGCAGATGCAGATGGATGTTTCTGGCACTTTCCTAGCTACCAGCTGCTCAAACGGTACCATCTGCATCTTCGACTACTCATCCGGTGACTGTGTGGTGACTCTCTTTGGACATTCAGGTATGCATTAGCCGGCCCGCATTGCTCCTGTAATGTTGTAGTTGAATCCTTCTGTGCTATTCCTGGTGTGTCCACAGATTCTGTGACAGGAATACAGTTCAGCCATGACTGCCGCCACCTTATTACTGTATCGGGAGACAGGTAAGTTCTCTTGGTGCTACTTTGGGTCTCTAGCTTATTGATTTTGTGTAATGGAGTAGTTGCCTAGAATGTCCTACTGTACAAATTTTGCTTTGCAACCCATTTATCCAGTTCAGGGTTATGAGGGAAATTAAGCTACACAAACCTATAACATAAACCAGTTTTAATCTATAGAGGTAAATCAATTTTATATTGATATACTGCAGCCAAACTTTCTATCTCATGAAAGTAAACCCTGAGCACCAAAAGGCGTGATTTGTTACATATCAAGAACATTCCTCTACAGAATAAGGGATCGTGTTTGTATCCTGGAATCCATGAGTGATTTTCAGTTTCATTTCAATGACCCATTTGTCAGGAAATTGTATTTTAAGACTGTTCTTACGTATGCACATTCCTGTACTCACAGCTGTGTGTTTGTCTGGAGACTTGCTTCCGAAATGACAAAGGCCATGAGGAAGAACCTGGCTGATATCATACAGAGAAATTCTTCATCTTGTAGCTTTTCCGAAACCACCATCAGCCAGCTCCTGGCCAGGTTCAGCTTGACCCCTGTTACTTTGTTCCACTTAAGCCAAATGTGACTTGTAGTTCTAGCCGCATAAGGTAATGTGACAGTTACACGTTATTCACACAACGGCCCTAGAAAGCAGACATGTGAAGATGTACGTGGACCTCTGACTCCAGCTGAGGTGATTAGGGGGCAGAACCAGGAGGAACGGGGTGAGAACATCCTCACCTACTCCAGTCACGATGAAGGTAAGCGTGAGGACAAATAAAACCACCAGAATTGTAGGAATAATTGTTTTCCCTCCATTTTTCAACCTCTTGTTCATTGTAGAGGTTTAGGATGTACAATTTATTCTTGATAATTGGGTTGGATAACGTTTTTTTTTTTTTTTTTTTAGTTCCTAAGCTGGTAAGAGGCAAATGAGTATTTTACTCCTCTTAATATCTCTAGAATATCTTTCTACAGTTAACCAGCTTTAACATATATTAACATTTTAGCCATTGTCTTGGTGATAGACTTGCATTGCTGTAGTCTGCTTGGTTTGATTTTTGCATTTAAAGTTTTTGCATGTGAATTTAAAATATTTACTACAGTGACAAAATCAAGAGCAGACCCTGGTTATTCTCTACATGTCCCCCCCCTATCAGTTACCCTGACCCCTCTGCAGACAAATGGTGAGCCCATGTTGGCCAGGACACTGGTAGGTCATTCACAAACCTAAACCTCTTTTCTTCTGTTGTTTATGTCTTTACTTTAAAGGTAATGCTATTGATATCTTGCCCCCGCCCTTATTGAAATAGTCTCCCCAGGCCCTGTGTTCTTTCGCCAACCCTGGCAAAGAGCAGAGGGGGGGCTCATACCAGCCCCGGGCCCGGTGGGCTGAACATTCCGATCCGGAGGCTGTTCTCCTGGCCCTGGAGACTCAGAGCTTACGGAGCCCCCTCACTCCCAGCCCAGGCGGGAAGGATGCAGCGAACGAGGGTGACCCCTTTGGACACCATAAGCAGAGCCTTTATGAAGGGGACCTGGAAGATTATCTATGTCTGGCCTGTCCAGATAAGCAGGTAAGGCAGTTTGGGCTGCTGGCTCATTATTGGAAGATCACATACTGGTGAGAATCAGATACCTAGAACTCGCTTTAGTTAAAGCTATTGAAAATTTTGCTAATCACTTTTAGGGAATTGTTCATATTAGTGAAAGCTATTAAAGTACATAGTGTAGTAGAGCAGCATGGCTTACAAAAAAAACATTAATTGCTTCTGGTTGAGCCACTGATTTATCAATAATTACTGTAGAAGAGGAACATCTGCTTTTTTCACTTTTTCCATGGCTCACTTTTCTCACTTTCTCTCTTCTTGTCTCTTTTTTCTGTGTCATAGAGGACAAATGCTGGGTCAGAGCAAAGCCTCCCTGGGACGGACCTCCTTTTGCTGCCATGTGATCCGGAGAACTGGTCATTGCAGACTGTCCCACCTGAGATGACTGACCACAGTTTTCATCCTACTAATGGCTCATCTTTGCAAAGTGAAGAGGAGTAAGCAAAAGAACAGATTTATTCTCTTTGGTTCCTAGGCAGTCATGATCTGGTTTTTATGTTCTCATTGTGCTACTGTGAACTTGGAGGAGCAGAGTTCTGTGTGGATCCGGTGCTTCGGTGTTCCTGCAGTACATCAGCCCGGGACGCCTCAAACCAATGCATGTTAACTGTGAAGAGGTCCATGTGGTTTTACTTTTCTGACAACAGAGAGCTTGACTTCAGGAGTCTGCATGATGTCCCATTGGTACACTGGAAGGAGACCACAGTTGACCTCAGTCTCAGCAGTGTCTGTGGTTCTGGTTCAGCTGAGAACCAGGCCTCCAACCTGGACTGGGCTTTTGTTGGTGAGATGGCACTGCCTCACGTTTGCAAATAAGATACCTTCAAATACTTAAACATTGATGAATATAATTTCTGTAACACTTTACTTGACGGGGTAGAAAATATTTAGTAACTACTGAAGTACAAATTATGAACAAATAGTTGCTACCTGAGATAAGATGCATCAAGATTCATTAATGAACAAACACAGCCACTATATCACTTATTCATTACTACTTCCTTCAGTAGTTCACAAAGGTTTACAGAATTCACAGATGTAACTGCTTCAGATAATTCATCATTAATGAATCATAATGCTTGTTTTAACATGAGATCAGTATGTAACCTAAGAATTTGTGGTTAATGCCTAAGTAATAGTGCAATACTAATGTGTCCCATCAAGTAGTGTTACCAAAATTTTGAAACTGTTCTATAGTTAGTGGTTCCAAAAGGTTTTCCTTTTCTCTACAGGTTCCTCAAGCCAAACTAGCTTTACATGTTCCTTCAAGGAGGAGCTGAGAAGTATCTCTCGGGCAGTTCCTAGTGTGGTAACATGCAGTCCAGTCAATGGGAAGGCATTATGAAAACTACAATCTCTCTCTCTTCCTCATGTCAGTAGGCCTCTTATAGTCGCCGAATGACCATCTCACAGGTGTTGCCCTTTGCAGGTGCCTTTGACCCAAACCTGCAGGAAAGGCAGTGGCCGTCAAAGAGCCACGTTCCCCATGGCTCTCCCAGTTCCCCTGCAGTTCCCGTGTCAGTCACCCCTAGGTGGTGTAAAGACTCCAGTAGGTCAGTGATTCAAATGTTTTTCACACATCACATCTTGTATTCTTTGTTTGTTTGAAGTCCTTGCATGGTAGACGTCTGGAGCCGCCTCTTATAAGATGTGGTGTTTCCCAGGACCTGTTTATGCAGATGGATTTAGTGGTGATTTGATCGAATGACCCCGTCCAGTTCCTCACCCATCCCCAGACTCGTCATGCACAATTTCTGCTTTTTCAGATGGGAGACGGCCTCTTGTCATGCTGATTCTGACAGCATGTCAGCCAACTGCACCAAAACTAAGGTATAGCACATCACACAAATTAAAATACAAAAGCCACAGGCACTGAAGGTGCCATAAAACTACATAAATTATTGCATTGAACAGCATGTGTGGCTTTGATGGGGGTCAGCTAGTTTTTTTTAAAGGGTTTATCCTCTGCTTTTATCTTGGCAGATGTCAGAGAACATCCTCCAACAATCCAGACATGCCAAACCTGGATGCAAATATACTGGTATGTGAATTCAAAATTGGCACGGATCTTTATTTTATTTTATTTTATTTTATTTTATTTTATTTTTTTATTTATTTATTTATTTATTTATTTATTTATTTTATTTATTTATTTATTGTATACAATATTAGCTGCAGTATCAAAGGTATCCTGCGTTTTGGTTGACATGTTTATATTGACAGTTCAAGAATTAGACTTTCTATTTCTACGTTAATTTTGTGGTACTGGAAAGTCAGCTTGTGGTGGAGGTCCTGGAGCCTGTTCCAGGCAGCACAGGGCACCGGGCAGGGGTATACCCAGGACGGGATGGCAGTCCATCACAGGGCACCGGGCAGGGGTATACCCAGGACGGGATGCCCGTCAATCACAGGACACGTACACATGCACATACTCATTCTATGCTACATACAGTTTTATAGATGGACCATAATCTACCAGATTGCATGGGCCGTGGGGGGAGAAATCATGCAGACTCGCATTTCTGCTCCGAATATGGATTCAAACCCCCAACCATGGAAGTCTGCGGCAACTCATTATTGCAGTACAGTACTACTCGCTGTGAACTGCCCAGTCTTTTGGCTTTCTCTGATGCCATCTTTGTTTCTAACATCAGTATTTGGTGGTGAACACAAAGGTCTGGTCAACCCCGTTTCCTGTATCCGACATGTAGCAAGCAATCGGCTGCTTGTTAGCTGTAATTTGTTTAGTAAAACTCTTCTGCATCCAGCTGTGCAGTATTGACTGGTTTGCTCTGATTTTTAAGGCATCAAAGATAAACCTATGGATCGCCTGATGTCTCCAGGCCAAAGACGATCTCTACCACGGTCCAGTGATGACATATCCAGATCTGTGCAATGGGATTCCATGGGTACTGGCACTAGCCCCCATTCCAAAGTCCTACACAACGGTTCTGACTATGAGCTTGTCAGGCCCCAAGTGAGAAAACCTGATAAACTGAGCAATCAAAGAGCAAGATCCACCCCTATTCTAAATACACCAAAAGAGCATAAGGAGTGTCTACCTGTTTCAATGATCCAGCAAAGCCAGTCCACGACGACACCACGCAAGCCTTCAGCTTCCACCGACAAACTCCCATCTCTGTGTCGTCACGTGTCAAGGGTAGGATCTCGCCCTTCCAGTCCTGTGTGCAGGGTGCCTTCTCCCCTAGGCAGCCTGACCCGCAAGAGCTTCACTGTGACCCAACGATCAGGCTTCACTCTGCCTGGGGATGAGAGCGACAGTGAGGCGCAGCAGGATGGAGTGAGGCCTGAATGCAGCACAAAGAGGTCCTCCATATCAAACAACTCGAAGGTCCAGCCCGGTGGGACTTGGAGCTGTAGTCCAAATGCCTCGACCCCAGAGACTGGCGTGGTTCTGTCTGATCCCTCTTCCGCACACCTGAAAAGAGAGGGAACAGTAGAGGTGAAGTCAAACCTGCATTCATACTCGCATACCTCTTCCTCTGGAGATGCTATGTCAACTTTGGCTCTACCACAGGAGAGCACTATATCCAACTCAGGTATCATGCTAAATATGACACCTTTTAAATGGACTTTTTTGCTGTTTTCATGATTCTTCTGTGAATGAGACAATGTCTTTGAAATGGGTGTGAGAGATTATGTCCTAAATTCCTTTAGGTCATTCCATCGGTCTTCTGGTTTTGTTTGGATGGCCTGGAGCCCATCCGAGGCAGCACAGCGCACAAGGCTGGGGAACACCCTGGATGGGGTGCCATTGTCATCCAATTCATACTAAAGACAACTCTTTAAAATCCATTTTTCCCTTCCAAAGCTTCAGTGTCATGGCCTTTGTAATTCTTCCATTTCCCAGAATCTATTTGGGATTAATACAGACCAAATCTTTTCTTCCTGCTAACGTGTAAAAAAATAAAATAAAATAAAATAAATACACTAAATACTTTTTTCCCCCATGTAAGATTAATAAATTACATCAGTGTGTTCGCTCAGTCACATGGGAGTCTATATAATGCACATGACTAATTCCATCCTAGAATCATTTGTATGAAGGAGAAACTTACAACATTGGCTGTATCTCCAGATGTCATGAATGGGCCAAGTGGACTGAACACCTGTAAACGGATAGTGAGAGATCTGAAACACTCTGTGACGGCAGCTGTTGGCTTGTACAGGAAGGTAAGTTCAAAATGCAGGCTCATATGAAATTCATGTCTGCATGCTATGTCATGGGACACTGATCAGATCACCTGAATCTGCATTTCTCTTCTGTCCAGTTGTGCTTGAGCCAAGGCAGCCCAGAGCAGTGCTCACAAATGAGATTACTCCTGGACGATGTCTTCTCAGAAGTCAGGAGTGACTTGAGCTGTGCTTTTAATTCTGAGTTAAACCAAGATCAAGGCAGGGTGACCACTCCCCGGAACGCAGAAGGTGTCACCCTGCAACTGCAAAGCGATGGGATCATGGCCCTGTTGGAGAGGTACTCCGACATCCTGGCCCGGATTACAGCCAGAAAAGCAAATTCTGTTTGAAGGTGCTCTGCTAACTTATTTTTACCATTTTGAGCTTAACCTTCCTTATTGTACATGAGAGCCTTTGCTTTAAATAACGTAAAACTTTCAGACCTATTTAAGTATTTGTGGTATATTTAAGAGAAATGTTTTTAATTTTGTTACAAAAATAAACTATTTAAACACACTTTTAAAAGGCTATTTGAATGCAAAACTAAATGAGTTTTCCAAAGAGAAATGATATGATAATGATTTAAATGAAGCACTTTTATGGTAGCAGGTTTTTAATTTTGGTGCTTATTACAAAAAACATTTGTAGGTATGCAACATTTCCTATTTTCTTTGCCCTTTTTATTGGGAGGGACTACAGTTTCCCCTCTAACCTGTACCGGATAAACAATATGGATTGCTGGTCAGTGTCATTCTGTATACAGTGGAACCTCTGATTACGAGTAACGCTGTTTACGAGTTCCGCAAGATGAGCAAAGATTTTTAATAAATTTTGACTTGGAAACCGAGCAAGTCCTGGTTTACGAGCGCCAAGTATCATCAGAAATCATATGGCACACATGCGCTCCTTGTTTTTCTTGTTTTTACGTGCGCTCCACTTCAAAACAGGAAGCGCATGCGTGCGCTTCTTGTTTTGACGCCGAGCGCACGTCATCACAACTGAACCAATGGTTATTCACTTTCTCATGCTGCGGAATTGTGGGTAATCGTCTCCCATGCTCGGTCTCAGTCGGCATGCCTCACTCGTATAGTCAAAATTTAATAGAAAAGCACCACCTGAATAAGGGCGTAGCAGTGCGTGCGATGGATCTCTTTAACGACAATGCAATGTCCACATTTTTGTGAAATCATTGGATGGTTTCCTTGTTAAAGTCGCACAAACAGAAAAAGATTCCAGTGAGCCAACAGATAGCAGTGATTCCGTTAATTACAGTGAAAGTCATCCTACAAAATAACCCTCCTCTTCTCCTCTGTCGTCTCCCTCACACCATCCATGATTCTTTTCAAAGGTAAAGCGCAGGTTAATTTGTTTTATGTATTTTTACTTTATATTTTGTATTAATAATTTTTATATGAATATTTTTGAGTTGTGGAACGGATCATATGAGTTTCCATTATTTCTAATGGGAAAATTCGTTTTGATATAGGAGTGCTTTGGATTACAAGCATGGAACGAATTATGCTCGTAAACCAAGGTACCCATGTACTTTTTTCACATTTTCAGAACTTTTTGTTTTCCAATCATGGATATCATAGCCACCCAAAGACATCTCTCTCTCTGATTAGATCCTTTTTGATCCTTTTTTCTGGTTTCGTTATAGGTGGATGTGGGACTTGTGATTTTTACACAAGTACATTTGGAATGATTATTGGCTGTAGGAGCCTTTGTGGCCAGTTCACATTCGTAGGTTGTCTTGCTTTTCTGTCAGCCTGATGTTCTTGCCATCGTATTACAAATGCAGTATTTCAATTTTGTCATAGTGCACTAAGCAGTGATGAACTGAATTTCCATACATGGTTTCTTCATAGTTTTGTTTTCTGTGGAAGCAGCAGCACTATATTTACTTTGCATTGTGCCTGTTGGTCATGAAAATATACTTGCACTTGAACCATGGTACAAGTATTTGACCAGGCTTGACATCGGATGTCAGTCTCCTTAATGCCTATTCATTTAAATGAGCTCCGTTTCATAAAACTTCTTAACGTTTATTACACGGTAAAATATCACAAACCATCCAGAACTCTCTGTAATCAGTTTTGAAATTTTATGTGGAACTTGCTATTTCATCCCATATAGCAGTCCATCCATCCATCCATCCATTTCCAGTAACTGCTTATCTTCCAGGTTGGGGGGGTGTCTGGACCCAGAGGCTACAGTCACAAGTCAGGGAAGAACCCAGGATTGGGCACCAACCCATCGCAGGGCACACTCACACACCATTCACTCATACATACACACCTACTGTATGGGCAATTTGGTAACTCCAGTTAACCTCAGCATGTGTTTGGACTTGGGAGGGTAGAACTGCAGTACCCAGAGAGAACCTCACAATGACATGGGGAGAACATGTAAACTCCACATATTTAGAACCCTGCAGGAGTCTTGAACCCTGCTCCCAGAGGTGTGAGGTGACTGCGCTAACTACTGCGCTACCCTCCCACCCCCTTGCAACTGGGGGGGGCAACCGGGGCAAAGCTCCATAAATGGGAGAGATCTACCACAGAGCAAGGGACAGGCCTCAAATCTGCAATGCTGCAGCCGCAGGATCACTCCCGCCAAGCTGCTGCAGCCGCAGGATCACTCCCGCCAAGCTGCTGCAGCCGCAGGATCACTCCCGCCAAGCTGCTTTTGGGGAAATTAAGCCTCCTTGCTATAGAAGGCAAATGAGTGGATAATTAATGAAGTATATTGAGACGAATTACAATTCCTATTCGTTAGTTTCAAATTCCCTCAGTTGCGGGGAGTTGCTCAGCTTTGCTTTAACCAGCTGGTGTCAGTGTAACACAGTGCATGACGGCTTTGATTGGATTTTTCTTCCTTTTGGTCTCATCGGGTTTGAAATGTACTTGTCATATCAGATTGGTTAAATACCCTTTTCTGCGTTTCACTTTCTTAAATTTTAAATTGTTGGTTTCATTCAGAATTTTGGTTATGCAGGGTTGGGAGGTTCAAATGTCACTGCAGCTCTGTGTGTGGCATCTGCTGGTGCTCCTGATGTACAGTCTCCTCCTGCAGTCCAAAGACCTGCAGTTAGGCATTTTGTCGTCTCTAAATGCCCTATGGTGCACATGTGTAAATACCATGCAATGGACTGGCATCTAGGGGGAAAAGGGTTAAATATTTCAGTTAAACTTCGCGATTCCTTTAATAGTATGCCTTTGTTATTGTGAAGTAGACAGTAAACATACACTACGTACTAAGCATACAGTAGTTACCCATGTTCTTGCCGTGGCTGCCAGTCAAATATCTACACGTCGTAATGTTATAACTCCCTTGTCATAAACGATATTTGCTGGCAGGGCGATTTGGTTATAAATCAGTTATGGTGGATTAATAGCTTCAGAATATAATGTGCTTAAATGTCTAAGCACAAGTTCAAACTTTTAAAAAGGGGCTTCTCAATAATTAGCGTTTCGGCCTAACAAAGATGGTCTGTCGCACAGATGATGATGATGTCAGGAGAGAGACAGACTTTCAGTGTGGTTTATAGAAAACGTGTGTTGCATACTGATTCAGTGTCATACATGGCAAGCTAAGTGCTCCATTTACAAAGGAAGCCCTGAGCTTGTGCTTCTGAAGCAAAGATGATTCACCCCGGAGCAAGGCCTGTGGCAGTTCCAGGTGATGCTGTTCGGGCTTTGGACTGTCGCCATCTCCTTTAAACGGCTTATGGAGCGAGTGCCTGTCCATGTGCTTCACAGCTGTTGTGTGGTCTGCCTAGACAATTGCTGGTGCACATTCCTGATAGCCATGCCAGTGGTGGTTCTCCATGACCACGGATGAACACGGATACCCGCAATATGGGCTCTAAAGCAGTGCCCCCCCAATTAGGGGGAAGGGGAGGAATGGGTCATTGCCTATGTTGCTGCTTCCTTAGCAGGGCTGAATGTAATTAATGTCACCTTCACTGTCGGGCCCTTGAACATGATCCTTAATCCCAGTTGCTCCAGGAAGTGGCGCACCATGCTGTCTGATCTTCACTTATGTCATATTGGACAAAAGTATCCATTAAATAAATATACAGGTATCTCCCACTTTACAAAAGCAGAGCATTCCTGTGAAATCTTTTCTAAGCCGGAATAGTATAAAATAAAGAAAATATTATCCTGGTAAAAAAAATTACCATTAATTTTATATGGCAAACAATTTTGGCACACCGAGACTAACCTACGAATATGAAACGCAACATATTTCCAAAATCCATTATCATTTTGAATATAAATTTTACATCTATGCAATACTTGTCTAATCTTTAGCACCTCTTGTGGACAACTAATGATGAGTTACAGTAGCTGAGGATCAGCATCAACAATCAAAATGGGAATCAATACTTACATTCCAGACAAACAAAACTCACTGGTGCTGTAGAACTCTGTCATTGCAAGGCTTAATACAACTTGTCTTCAATCATTCAATAGGAAAGCAATTGATGAGGTTGTGTTTCTTTTGCATGTGATTTTGGGGTTTGTGTGTATTTCTTTGTATTTCAAAAAATCTCTTCATTTCAAAGCTTATATCTCTTGAGTCTAGTTTTTGGCATAAATTCCATTTTTTCAAAAGTAACACCAAGCTGCTGTCCCGCAAGGTCATGTGCTCCGTCTTCTGTTGCCTAGCAACATTTGGCCCACATAATTGATTTGCCACTTTTCTCACTAATGCTGTTTTTGCCACATTTGTAGCATGTAGGAGCATAACATTTCCCACACTCACACTTTGCTGTGTAATTCAATTTAAATTCATATCTGTGAGCCTGATTTATTTTATTGATCTTGTGCAGCAATCCTACGGTATTCATTTCAGAAGAAAAAGTGTTCTGTTACTGCTAAAAGGGACCCGTTTGACTCACAGAAATATCAGTGTGCACTTATTCTCAATCTGCTAGGGCAGTAAGGTGCACACAGGAAGTTCTACTCTGGGTCAAGGTGACGACATTGACCATCTGTTCTAACTATTAGCAATGTCGCTCCAGAGTCCCTGTACTCGTTCAGGATCATCCACACCAGGTCCTTCACATTTAACTTATGTCTGGGACATTTAGTTGTGGTTTATTTTATAGCATAATTCATAAAAGCATTGTTTTCCTCCTTG